CCCTTCCGCGTCGTGCGCGAGACGGGACGGCGGCGCTGGGATGAGGAGGAGGAGGAGGAGGAGGAGGAGGAGGAGGAGGAAGGCACCAGCAGGTGGGACAGCGAGGAGGAGGAGGAGGACGACGAGGACGAGGACAAGGAGGAGGAGAGAGGCATCACCTCGAGGCATGGGGACAATGAGGAGGACGAGGAGGAGGAGGAGGACAAGGATGAGGAGGAGGTGGAGGAAGACATCACCTTGAGACATGGGGACAATGAGGAGGACGAGGAGGAGAAGGAAGAGGAAGGCATCACCTCAAAACATGGGGACAATGAGGAGGAAGAGGAGAAGGAGAAGGAGGAGGAGAAGAAGAAGAAGGAGGAGGAAGAGGAGGAGGAGAAGGAGGAGGACGAAGGTGTTACCTCGAGACATGGGGACAATGAGGAGGAGGAGGAGGAGAAGGATGAGGAAGAGGAGAAGAAGGAGGAGGAGGACGAAGGTGTCACCTCGAGACATGGGGACAATGAGGAGGAAGAGGAGGAGGAGGAGGAGAAGAAGAAGGAGGAGGAGGAGGAGGAAGGCAGCTCTGGATGTAGGAACAACGAGGAGGAGAAGAAAGAGGAGGAGGAGGAGGACAAGAAGAAGAAGGAGGAGGAGGAAGGCGTCACATTTGGACGTAGGGGACAACAGGAAGGTGGAGGAGAAGAAAGAGGAGGAGGAGGAGGAGGAGGAGGAGGAGGAGGAAGGCAGCTCTGGGTGTAGGAACAACGAGGAGGAGGAGGAGAAGAAGAAGGAGGAAGAAGAAGAAGAAGGAGGAGGAGGAGGAGGAGAAGAAGAAGAAGAAGGAGGAGGAGGAGGAAGAAGAAGAAGAAGGGGGAGGAGGAGGAGGAGAAGAAGAAGGAGAAGAAGGAGAAGAAGAAGGAGGAGGAGGAGAAGAAGGAGAAGAAGGAGGAGGAAGAGGAGGAGGAAGAGCAGTCTCATACATAAAAATCGATTCCGCCAAACCCAAACCGAAATCAATAAAAAAAATTGAATTTCGGATCCAATTCTCTCCGAGCCGGCGCACGGAAAAGCCGCCCTGGGCCTCACAAGGAAATTTCCTGCCCCACACCAGGATTTTGGGTTGATTTTTAGTTTTATTTCAATTTTTCTGTTTTTATATGATTATTCAACATTTAAACATTTTCAACGCCGGGCGATTGGTGTTTTTCACACCGCGAAGGGGATTTTTTTTTGGGGGGCGATTTTTGGGTTCTTTGGAGGGATTTTCGGGTTGTTTTTTTTTTTTCCAGGGGCATTTTTTGGGATTTTTGTGGGATTTTTTTGGGTTTTCGCAGGGATTTTTTTTTTTTAATTTTGTGGGATTTTTGGTGGGGTTTCTTTGCGGCCTTTGGGGGGGATTTTTGGGTTTTTTTCAGGGCATTTTTGGTGTTTTTCGTGGGGATTTGAGGGGTTTTTTGGAGGGATATTTTGGGATTTTTTTGAGTGTTTTTCATGGAGATTTTTTTGCATTTTTGGGGGATTTTCATGGGATTTTTTTTTTGTTTTCTGGAGGGATTTTGTGGGAATTTTTTTGTGTGTTTTTCGTGGGGATTTTTGTGGGATTTTTTTTTGGAAGGATATTTAGGGGCATTTTTGGTGTTTTTCGTGGGGATTTTTTGCCTTTTTCGGGGGCATTTTTTTGGGGGATTTTGGTGGGGTTTTTTTTTTGTTTTTTGCGGGGATTTTTTTGCTTTTTTGGGGCATTTTTGGTGTTTTTCGCGGGGATTTTTAGGGATTTCTGTAGGATCTTTTTGGGTTTTTTGGAAGGATATTTTGGGATTTTTTTTGTGTGTTTCGTGGGGATTTTTTGGGGGCATTTTTTCGGGGGATTTTTTTTTGTTTTTCCTCGGGTATTTTTTGGGGGGATTTTGTGGGATTTTTTTTTGGCTTTTGGAGGTATTTTATGGGATTTTTTGGGTATTTTTCGCGGGGATTTTTTTTATTTTTTAAGCGATTTTTTGGTCTTTTTCGCGGGGATTTTTTACCTTTCCCGGGGGCATTTTTTGGGGGATTTTGGCAGGAAATTTTTTTTTGTTGTATTTCGGGGGCATTTTAGGTGTTTCTTGCGGGGATTTTTTGGGATTTTCCGCGGGGATTTTTTTGATTTTCCGAGCGATTTTTTTTGTCTTTTTTGCGGGGATTTTTTTGATTTTCCGAGGGATTTTTTGGGATTTTTCCCGGGGATTTTTTTGATTTTTTAAGCGATTTTTTTGGCTTTTTCGCGGGGATTTTTTTTGATTTTCCGAGCGATTTTTTTTGTCTTTTTTGCGGGGATTTTTTTGCTTTTCCGAGCAATATTTTGGGATTTTTCGCGGGGATTTTTTTTTGGGTTTTTCAGGGGCATTTTTTGGCTTTTTCGCGGGGATTTTTTTGATTTTTTAAGCGATTTTTTTGTCTTTTTCACTGGGATTTTTTGCCTTTCCCGGGGCCATTTTTTGGGGGATTTTTTCGGGGTTTTTTTTGTTTTTTCGGGGGGATTTTGGGGGTTCAGACGATGAGCAGGGGCGTTTCGGGGGGCACCCCGCAGGCCACCTTGTGCCTCTCGAAGAGCTCCCGCAGGCGCCGCACGTAGAGCGCGTGGAAATGCGCGACCACCTCGGGCGGGGGGCGCGGCACCCGCGGCACCTCCAGGGGGGTCCCGACTGCGGGAAAAGCGGCTGAAAACCCCGAAAAAATCCCCCCAAAAA